CACCAGTGCATTAAGGACTAGCCCAAAAATCAATCAAGGACTGTACAGAGCTACGCAATCAACCTCAGCTCCCGAGTTCTGATCTGTGAAGGATCAAGACTGTTCTGCAAGAGGAAGCATTTATGAGCAGGACAACTCCTGGGGGAAAAAACCACAAACAAACAAAACCACCCCACAAACAAAACCCATCCTCACCACATGCCCTCACATATTAAGAGATGATCCACAAAGAATGCCAAGATACCCCTTGAAGGCTGACATTTGCCAGGCTGGTAACTAAGTCACCTCTTACATGCCCATATGCCCTCACCACACACAAACAGCTCCGTGAACTTCTGGTAGGTGATGCCCTAAAGGGTTGTAGCACCATCTCCTCAAGTTCTTTAAACAAAGACCTTCATAATAATTTGAAGGAGCATTAAACTACTACAGAAAAATAAAAGGATGAAGTGTTGATAACTGTTAAGACCACAAGCTTCTCATGGCTAAGATGGTTTGCCCTATGTGGTGGCACACCACAGTATGATCTTTAGTTAATATCACAGACATACTTTCCCACTGATCTGGAATAAAATTAAACCCAAAACCTTTTTGTTGAGAAAGTCAGTGGTGCAGGGAACACATACAAGTAACTGCTAACTATGAGAACATTTTAGATGGTGACAATGCAAAAACCCCAAATACAGCTCAACTGAAAGATATATAAACTTCAGGAATATGGCTCTTTAGCACAACTGTGAGTGTAAAATGAGAGCTGAAACTGTAAATCAGTTTCCTAGACACCCTTACCAATTCTTTAAAAGTAAGAGTACCTAAAGAAAGAAAAAAGAAAGCTGCTACTCCAACTTTGTCTGAATGACTTAATGTTTCATCTAAATGATTCAGAAAGTCGTAGGAATCAAAGAAAGTAAAGAAAATCCAATACAGGTTAGCACTGACATTCAGATCTTTCTCATCAATTAAGCCTTCACTTTCCAAGCAAATTCCATGAGGTACACTGTGATCCTACGTTTGACTGGAAATTGCATTTGCTCAGAAAACAGAGGAGCCAACCCACCATCCCAATAATTACACAATTTTATTGCTCAAGTCAGAAAAAAAGTTGATTTGGGAACAACTCTCTATCAAACTCAGGTAGAGAGAGAGGACACAAGTGGAAAACTGGTGCTGTTGGCTGCCCTTTAAATATAGTTTTTATTCAAATTCAGCACCTTTCTTTCTCATTACATTTCTGTAACTGCTGTAACATTTGCAGCACAACAGAGACTTTCATTTTTTAAAGACTGATCCAAGCACTTAACATCAACTTATAGCCAAATAAAATTTCCTAGTTACAACAGAAAAAACTGCACAGTTAGAAACTCAGCATCTTCAGGAAGAAAACTGAATTCCAGTAATATTTAGTTATAGCTAGAATGAAGTCTAGTGAATAGAAATCCTAGCTACATCACACATGTGGCTTACCAGGAACTCTGAATCAATTTAAATCATGTCTGATGTGCTTTCCTCCAGAGTTGCAGAGCTCATAGTGCATTATACTGAAATAAGCAAAAAAAAAAAAAAAAAAAAAAAGAGATCTGGTTTATGAGCAGCTGCTGCCAAAGAGCAGACAGGAAGTTAAGGGCTGTGTTAGAAACGAGATGGAGAAGAGTATTATAAAGGGGAGGGAAAGTAAAACAACTTCACACACTTCATCAGTGTAGTAACTGGTATTTAAACAATAAAAAAGAATATCTGAACTAATGTTCCTGCAGGTAAGAAAGACTGGAGCTATATAAATAGCTCAAATAACAAATGAAAACCAGGGACATTTTACCTTACTGGAAGAAGCATATAAAATGAATCATGAAAAGAAAGTTGATCACAGAGTTCTCAACAAAACAAGGGGAGTTTCAACAAAATTAAGAAGCACTGAAGTCTCCACACAGTTCAGCCTGAAGTTCACATGGTATCAGTATAAAAATGAAGTAAAAATTAAATAACTTCATTAAGCACAATAAAATTAGTCTAAGTAATGATACCAGCGAACCAAGGTGAAAATAAAGCTCTCCATTTCAGACCAGGGTTCAACAATGTGAGATTTCAGGCAATACGTTACACCACTACACTGTCTGCCTCTGAATTTCTTAACATTAAAAACCCACCCCAACCAAAAAAAACCCCAAAATCACCTTGACATTAGCTGACAAGAGCACAAAGGATCAGGAAGCCTTGCTACGGTTCAGATATCCAGAAACAGGACATACACTGAATTTGATGCACCCCCCACACCCTTACAATCACAATGAGTGTTCTATGATTTTTTACAATCTAGGGACCTATTTTTAGAGCTACCTTTTGCTATGACAGATCTGAAAAATTGCTCAAATACACAATTAAATTTGCTACAGGTCAAAGACAGCACAAAATGTTAAAACTATCTCAAAAAATAATGTTAAGCTTGAGTTTAAAAAGAGTGGGAACGTTAAGTGAACTGTTAGCTATCCAATTATTGAATTAATGAAGGCAGGGTGTCCACTAGAGGCCTACCCACCCATCGTGAACATCAGATGCATCAAATTAAAAGGCAAATTAAGTATAGGAAAAACCCTCAGTTAAAAAATACCAGAATGGAAAACCTCAAGCCTGTGAAGTAGATATTCACAAAATCCTGACTTTCACAGGGCGTCACTCTTTCTAAAATTCAATTATTTAAGAAGCAATTTCAGCAGAGGCTGCACTGGCAGCTTTGTCAATCTGTGTAGAACTGCTTAGGCATAATAGTGACATACTTCAGCTCTGGATAAACTATTTTGGGCCATCATCTGCTTGGCCAAACACTGAAGCAGAATTCCAGAATAAAAATATTCTAGCATTGGTAAGTTTATCTACATTCTAGATCTCAAACTAATGCCTAAAATAATAATTAACTGACAGCTCCCCCCATAGCCTTTTTTTGTTCATATAATTAAAAACATGCCTCGCTGGCTTCAATCCAGTGATGAACAAACACACATTATGCACTGCCTCACGAATCAAAGCTCATAAAACAACGTTGCACAGAGCTACAAAACTCATATGGTGTTAAGAGACTGCCGAAGCCTATGAAAGAAACGCTTAATAAAACCAAACGACAAAAATCTAGAGAGGACAAAAATCTCAGACAATTCAGATGAAACACTGAACTGTTTCAGTTGATAACAGAAGAAACACTCTCCCACTCCGCTTACTCCTCTTCTGAAGTTATGGGAGTGGCTCACTTGCTGCCCAGTTTAATTCTGTGCAGAGCACGCCTGCATTCACATGTGATTTACACCAGTAAAGTTTGATTACAACAGTGAATTTGTGATTTGTCCATACTAGAGCATAACATTATTCCCATTTATTAGTTTGCTCACCTCTAGCCTCATTCAGATGAATTCTTCTAAATATTTTAGTGAAGCCCTCTAGAATTTACTGTAAACACATATAAAACAGGGAGTGGCACTCATTAACGAGGCTCACGCTCTATTTTAACACACAGAGTATCTACCACGCTCTGACATGATTAAGACAACACACAAGAAAATGGATGAAGTAGTTCAGTACTTTAAGAATTCATTCAGAGAAAACAAAGTTAAACAAAAATCATAGGAGTAAATAAAATTAGTTTTGAACTGGCAAGAAGAGAGACTTCAGTCTTCTTACACATTACAAGAAAAATTCCTCATTCAATTGTGAGCCAGAATCAATATTTTTCAATAAGAGCCAGAGTCAATTCAGTTTCCTTAGCAAAGCAGTCAGTACCCAGCACAGCCAACTTCACTCCTTCCCCCCAATTTGTCAAACTTCTGCAAGCCTCACAGGACTAAGTGGAAAACAATATTTTTTTCCAAAAAAACTCATTAACTTGAATTCCAAATACCATATCTGCCCTCAGGAATTTTTTTTTTCTTCCAATCAAGTTTTGCTGCTATAGGAAATATTTATCTTTCACCTAGCAGCATTTAAAAGACCCCAATATGCCATTAAACCTGAATATGCTTCAAGTATTTCCTCCAGCCCAATAGGTTTGGGAGCATGAGCTGTTACTTGTTACAAGAGCAAGTAAAAAAAATTTAGGCAAAAGCAAGAATTTCGTAGTCTATTAAAACTCTTTAAAGTCAAAAAATAATACAGAAATCAGCCTGAAACAGAAAGGCTATGGGGGCTTAAGTGCTAGTCTAAACCTACTGAGGTCTGCAGAAAGTCTCCTAGTGAATTCAGCGATCTTTGGATCGGTCCCAAAGCATTTACAGTAGCACAGATAAGAGACAGCATCTACATTTTAAAGGTATGGGGTTTTTTTCTGTAAAACAAAACCAGCTGTAAATTATTTCAGTAGCTTTATTCTGAGAAGACTAAGCAAGGTTTCTGACGTTAAATCTAATACAGCTTCACCACAACCATCACTGTCATTAGGGAATTCTAGCTTTCAATATCAGTCTGTGGGAAAACCACCTCAGGAAAAAAAAAAAAAGAATATTCAGAAATCAATTTTGAAAGTGATGCTTATTCTGTATTATCACTCATAATGAAACTGAGAAAAAAGCTTCATTCCACTAAGCAGCACACTAAATGTTTGCTGTATCAACTGGCAACCCAACGAAGTAACCTGTTCAAAGCACAAATTTTCACCATCTCCCACAATTCATTGGCCAAAGTCTAATTTCTGAATCATTTTAGAAGCACCCACTCAACATCAAATTTAAATTGTTCCCCAAAACGTCATCACAGCATGAGAGTAGAAAGTTCTGTTCTTCGAAATAATAAAAAAGCCACCAGTGCTGCCCACGTGTTTCCCTCCAAAAATATGAACGTGCTTTAAAACAAAGTGACACCAGAGTTTATCTTACCAGCTTCCAGCTCTACTCAACGTGACTACCTACATGTACCAAGATGTGAAATATTAATAATTTCTCATAATACCATGCAGTCCATACTAATAAGATCATAAGCACAACATCAAAAATTTCTTTCAGTCACAACAATTTCTTTCTTACCTTGCCTCCTTCTCTTTCAAAGTCGACATATTCCCGGGTCGGTGTCTGTCGCTGCTCCCCCTGCCAGCTGGCCGGAAAAAACTGGAGAGACAGATTGGTTCCTGTGGCCACAAAAGCCTTTTAGAAAAATCAATACAAACAGGATCAGGGAGCAAGACATTACATAAATTATGCAGGCAGTCATTTATTTTTACATCAGTTTATGTCTTAAGCCAGGCAGCATAGAGAATACTTAAAGTCAAAAACATGCACTCATCATTTTTCTTAAGTATTAAGTTACAAACATCTGATTCCATTTTGACAACATTTGCCATTGGCTTCTTCGGATATAAAATACAACATGGAATCAATACTCCTTTCAAATCAATTTTGCTGACATTAAAATCTGTCCTTTCAGTTCTGTCTGGATACCCTGCACCAACTTAATACCTGCAACGTTAAAAACTGCCCATGCTTTTTAAAAAGCTTGCATATCTCTAAAAGAAATACTGCTGAAGGAAAATGAACTCCTGAGACCTGTTACCTGGGACAAGTTCTTTTGGAAGAAAAGGATTCATTTACTTTCACAATCTTCTTGTACCTAGATAAACACTTATCTGAATTGAAATGTAAATATCCCTATTTTATCATCTACAGGCAAGCAGCATCAATACAGCTCAATTAAACTTCAGAGGATGAAGCCTTCTGGCCAACTTAAGACACCAGTGCAATCCAAATCAGCAGATGCTGTGGCAGTGAGAAGAGGCAACCATAGGAATTCTCAGTTGCAGCCCTTTGTGAAATCATTAAAGGGACTGACTTCACCATATTAGAAAAAGCATACGTTGCTTTCAACATAAATAACTTCTTATGGTTTCAAATGAAAACAAGATTTCATTTTCTTTATAAACTCCTTGCATTTATTTGTATATCTTACCAACTCCAAGCATTGAAGAGTATGTCAATTTCTAGGTATGAAATAAAAAATTATTTTTTCCAGAAGTCAGATTCACAGTATTTATACCTTTCTCTGGTACACGTGAGCACGTTCTGTAAGCACGTGAATACTCAAACATGCTCCCAGAATATAACTCCACTCAAAATCCCAGGGTTAAACGTAATTTGTTGCAACCAAATAACTGTATTGATTACTATGATCACTCAGATTTAAATGGTCATGAATCCAGAATACAGTTTTTCTTAAAAGCTATTAACAAATGCTATTTCCTGACAAGCAGATTCCTTTCAAACAACCCAGAATTCAGCAACTTTCTGGTACAACTGCACTGCTACCCATGACACAATAGCTCTACATGTTATTTAATTTCAGATAGCTCCAGTCGTGTACTGCAACACTGTCTGTCACAGGATTAATTCCTCCCATTTTGAAAGTAGAAGTGCCTTGTCTTGACTTTTTCCTCTCTGTCAAAGGATAGGAATACTCTGCAATTGGGTTCAATTCCAGACTATCCTTAAAAGCAGGTTTTTTATTTATTTATTTTTAAATCTCCTGTTAGGCACATTCTCAATATCACTAAAATTGACTAATTGTTCGTACTAATACTGGAGGGAATATTGTATTGGTACATTAACATTTGTTTGCCCTACAATATGTAAAGACAAACATTTCAATCAAATAAAGGAAGCTTCTTCAAGGATACACTTGAAGGCAGCATCAAAACCACGGGGGCTGCAGACCATCAGGATCAGGCTCACCAGCTTATATTACCTCTTTGCTTTTCAAATAGATTCTACTAACACATCAACAAAAACATTATACCTATTTCCAAATATTTCTGACTCATAAGTCATCACTCCTTAGTCTGTTCACCAACTACCTTCCCACCTCTGAGCATCTTCAGCAAATACGTGTTTTACACTCCTTAATTCATACACTTAAAATAAAATGCCAAGGAGTTTGATTTTTTGATTGCAAACCAGCTGACCACTGCAGCCCTCTGGACCACTCCAGTTTCTGCAGGATACTGGGTCACAAATATTATACCTGCTTTCTGGGAAACTGAGGCAGTGAAGTGCCCATGCCACCCCCTAACTTGTGCTAGAGGGCCATGAAAAACCATGGGAAAAGTATCGGAGAAAAGAAGAAAATGAAAGTACACCGATTCCCACATCCTCATGTAGTCATGCAGGCAACACTTAAAGCATAGGCTATTTAAAAAAAAAAAAAAAAAAGCTATATAGATAAATATTCTCTGGATTTTTGAAGCTTATTCCCTTCCTTTGAATAGATTAAACCATCCAATTAAAAACTCACGTGCTTCTCAAATCAAAATCATAGGTCAATACTGAAAAAGTCAAGAACAGTCTCATTAGTAGCCACACAGGACTACGCCAAACCCAACAGCTTTCTTCTAGTAACAAGCAATTTTTAAAAAACAATAATAAAAAAAAAAAAAAAAAAACCCATTGCTAGTTTGGTTTTAAACTTGACCAGAAAAAAAAAAAAAAAAAAATTTTCTACACAGAGCCTTTTAAATCCCAGTCTGAAATGCCATCAGACACATATGCCTCAAATTCTGCAAAAAGCTTATCAGGTAGCACAAGGGTGATCTGACCCCCATGTAGACAGTGTAAATTCAACTACCTTCCAAACAAACAGGCAGTTAGGAAGCCTCCCAAAACAAACCAAACATGTAAAGTTATTTTCAAGTTATCAAAGCAATAGCAGTAAACTCAAAAAAATCTTATTTAATGTTCCACAGATACTTTCTCAGTAATACCGGTAATTATTTTCTTTATTTAATCAAGTTATTTGACAGAAGCAACCAACAACCTCCTGCCAGCTCTACAATAAATCTTGTTCTCTGGATTTTTTGCCTGCTTAAAAATATGTCAGGTCATTTCCAAAGGCTTCCTTTGGAGATAAAAGAATAAATCCTTGATGTCTGGAAAAATATTCAAGACTGAAAAAAAAAAAAAAAAGTAAAATTGTGAGCTCTTTTTAACATCAGTCAGTACAGATACTATATTTCTAAATAAACCTGACTACTTGTGCCCTGTTCACAAAACAAAACCAGATGTTTCAGATCAGGAAATTTAGAGGCTGTTTTGTAATGAAGTAGAAGTAAAAATACGTAGAACAGGCATCACTCGTTGCTTCCAAGGGATGAAGTTCTGACAGAGAAAGACAGCAGCAGGCTTAGAAGTGCAAAGGTGAAACTACAGTGATTTCCCATTTATATAAATAACCACATAGGCTGCATTAGAAAGCTAGTTTATAAGCTAAATGTCCTTTTTTGGGTTGTTTTTTTTTTTTTTTTTAAATGGAAGGACTCAGGTATACTGTGCACTTTCACCTGTTCACAATGCTAAACTATGTCTTCCTTACCTACCCATTGTTTCCTGAAAAATGAATGTACAACAAAAAAAAGTAAGATCTCTCTCGGTAACATGACAAGTTCTAAGACTACAGATAAGAAGCAGAGATAAGATTCATCCAAAATAAACTTCATCAGTAAAATATAACCATGTACTTCAGTGTATATCCTTTTGCTCACAAATGCAAACTAATAAAGTCAGTTGCAGTAACTGGTATTCAATGATATTTGGATGTGCATAAGAGTAATTGTGCATACGAATAATTTCACTGTGAACTCACTAGCAATATCTATACCATGTAAAATTAAGGAATTAACATAAATCAAACTTGGTGAAAGTAGGGGTAATTTTGTACAGGAAGGGAATTTTTACTTTGTCTTTCCTCATATACTGTAAATGAAAGAGAAGTTACTTGTGCATTTTAAGAACAGCGAAGAGTTAAGAACTTAATGCTATGACTTACTGATACTATAGAAGGAATATACAGCAGAAATCAAACCAGGAAATAACTAGTCAGTTCTCGACTACTCCGAGCCACACTTCATCTCGCTTAATTCAGAAGAGAGTAGCCTGTAACTAACCTTAATGAATGAGAAAAGCTGGGCTCAAGTTGCAAGTTTCAGAGCCTAATCTGAAAAAGCATCTGATTTAGTTCACAAAATACATCAAACAGCTCATTCAAGACTTTTAACTACCGCCTTCTGAACAGTTTTGCTGTTTCCGAAGGGGGGGAAGTAAATAAATAAATAAATAAAAGGAAAAACCCTGAGCATGGAAAGCAGCAGCTCGGACGTGCCGAGGGAAGGAAGTGCAGCCGATGGGCACTGGCGGGTGGCCCTGAGGGCTGGCAGAGGTTTTCCTCACCTCCCCATCACCTCCCCGCAGCCCCGGCGCTCAACACAACCCGCTTTTCCCTGCTGGAGCCAAGGCAGGGGCAGCTGACGGGTTTGACCCAAAAAACACTCTTCTGACGGGGAAAAAAAAAAGCGCTGCCTTTGAAGGAAAGCCTCCTTCCCCTCGGCCTCGGGAAGGCGGCAGAAGGCATTTTCTTTTCCTT